TGTGAACCTCATTTGGGAAACTGAGGCCCCAGAGATTCAGAGGCTCGGCCTGATCGCACAGCTGTTGAGACCCTCAGTCTAAGGCAGAGCTGCTATCAAAGCCACATGTGTCCGACTCTGTGGTCTCCCTCCTGTCTGCTGACCCCAAGTTATGCTGTGGTCCCTACCCGGGTTTCCAAATTAGGGTGTCATCAAAATTTAGAGATTTAAGAGACCTTAAAGATGATCTGAATCAGAAGCCTTAAAAGGACAAAACAGAGCCTGAGAGATTTCAGTGATTCTCCCAGCTACATCCATTTCAGGCCAGAAGCCAGGAGTTTGGTTCCTGTGCTGTGGCTCACTTCAGCTGCATTCACAGCACTATTAGGGGGTATTTCCAATTACTCCTTTCATTAGAACCCACTACTCTATCATTAGGCCTTTAGTCCTAACTAGTTTTTAACTACTTCTAGATTAAAAATTACTAAACCAACAGAGTATTTTGGCTTCAAAATACATACTGCAGTACTTCTTTTAAATAGGCAACCATAGTTTTCCAACTAAAAATCAACATAAAATTTCCATACACTCTTTGACTTTAGGGAATATGAGTAACGTGAGATGACTGTTTTCACTGTTTCGGAGTTTTTCTTTAGATGATTGTATTAAAAAGGTAGAAATAATCATTTTTTCATCACCCTGTAGCTCCCTGGATTTCTCTCACAATATCTGTCGTAGGAGAATGCTGATGGTCAGATTAAACTCTCTTAATACAATGGTCAAAATGAAGACGGCAGATATAGCCTCCAGGATCATCTTCTAAATTCTCTTTTCTAGCTCTTAATAATTTCCCCTATAGTATAGATTTGTGATAAAGCAAATATACATGCTGTCCAGAAACGTGTCCATACGGCAGACCAAACTGATGTTATCTCAGTTGGTTAACAGTTTCCCACCAAAACTATTTTTCTTTTCTTCATTCATTCTTTCGGTGACTCGAGGCCCCTACTCCCTGTGTATACATCTGTAGGCACAAATGCTTATGACTAAGGTGTAAGGGGCAAAGGTTCTTCTGAGAGTTTATATACTTATACTTTTGTAGACTCCTGAGGGAGTTAGATAAGAGATAGGAAGTATATACTTGGAGCACAGAAAGAACCAGTTCATCGCCTAACGGTTGGCTGCATATCCTAAATCATCAGTTACTGCCTTTTTAAAAGGCAGATCTTCTTGATATTAACGGTATAGATATAATGTCTGTTGATTTCTTTGATTTAAAGAGAGATCTGGGTACAGTGATAGAACTTCTTTTCCAAGCAAAATAATTCACATTTTTTGGAGCTATGATATCATATATTGCCCCAAGATTTACGGGAGGTGCAGCATTTCCATTTAGCGTTTTCGTAAGTTCCGGTAATGAGATGGTTTACTTCAGTTCCGGTGCATTACTGTCTTGCAGCACCACTTATATTCCTTATACGAGAGGGCCCCAAAAAGCCAAGCCTAGACAATGATATCCTGAATTGCACCAGCACAGTTTAATACAGTACCACTACATTGAAAACATTTACACAGACAGTTGCAAATCTACTTATCTTAAGCACAATTTATATAATACTTTGACAGACAAAAATATATGGTTAGAACTATTATATGTATCTGTCTGTTCAGTAGCAAACTTACAATAAATTATACATTATACCAGCGTAAACTTTCTTAAAGACTAAAAAGAAAAGGTCACATTTATGTTTAAAATACAGGTGCTACTTCATTATCTCCAAATAAAACAAGCTAACAGCCATTACATTAGATTCACTTATTTCAAGCTTACAGTCATTTGATAGTCACATCAAATTCACTACTTATAAGAGTAGCAGTGAAGTTGGATGTTAACATGGAGTGTTTGAAAGTTTGTTCCTAACACTTCAGTCCGGCTACAAGCTGGATATTTTGAAAAGCATGTGTGAAAAGAAACACTAAAATGACACAAGAAACATGTCACACTTATTGTAAAAGTATGAAAATAAAATATGTGTTTTAGGGGCTTCCCTGGTGGCGCAGTGGTTGAGAGTCCGCCTGCCGCTGCAGGGGACGCGGGTTCGTGCCCCGGTCCGGGAAGATCCCACATGCCGCGGAGCGGCTGGGCCCGTGAGCTGTGGCCGCTGACCCTGTGTGTCTGGAGCCTGTGCTCCGCAGTGGGAGAGGCCACAGCAGTGAGAGGCCTGCGTACTGCAAAAAAAAAAAAAAAAAAAAAATGTGTTTTCTTCTAACGCTTTATCCACAGGTATTGCCTCCAAAGGTTAATACACCCAGTGTCTGAGATGTTGCTGTTTTAGTTTCATTGAGAACGGGTTTTTGAAAATTAGGCCCACTGAGGAAAGACAAAAGACTACAAAGCCGTGCGCATTACCCATGATGTTGAGACGGAGCAAATGATGAGCATAAAGCGTCGTCCACCATGTTTCACAATTTTGTTCCTTCCTTAGAAACTGGGGGATTTGTGTGTAAATGATCCTAAATAAAGACCCTACGACTGTTGTTTCATTCCCTTTGACCCTCACCTTTATTTGTCCTTTTAAAAGAATCATCTTGCTAATATTTAGCCATTTACTGGTGTATTTTACCCTAACCTAGTTTTTTTTTGTGTATCTAGTTTGAGAGTAGGAAAGAAAGAGTCAGTTAAATGAACACAGAACATTATTTATTAGCTTAAATTATTTAAGTTTTCTAGTTTTTAGTATCTTGGACAAGGTAAATGCTTTTCCCCCTTTATCTTTCTACTATTACAAAATGAATGGAATGGAAGAAATTTTCACTATTAGTATTAATTCTTTTTCACTGGATTTAAATAGGGTCATTTGAACAACTGTTGCCCAACAAAATTGTAAACTATAATATCGGTAGAGACCATAGTTCCCTGTGTCACTCTACTGTAACATGGGTGATGTGTTTCTATGGAAGCACGTGCCTAAAGGGGTTGAAACAAAAATTTATGATGATGGAGCGGGTGAAAATAATTATTCAGGTAGAGTGCTGGAAAGAGGCACATCTGAAGTATCACACTTGCCAGGAGCTACAGTCCCCATCAATTAACTACCTTCACCTGTCAAAAATTTCCACCTTTGTAGTTTTTAAAAAATGTGTTTCCTGCCCCCGTTTCTTCTCTCAACCCATGTCCGAGAAACTTGGGACTCCCACACTTACTGGTTCCAAAACTGTGCTCCTTTCCCAGCACTCCATTCTGAGCAAAGAGATGGGTACAAAAAAATTCCCTTTTCACTTAGCTTACAGACGATGTTTTACAAAGATTCTGAATGCAATGTCACATTTACCATCAAGCTTGGATAAAGCATTAAAAATATGGGACTGACAACATATAAAATTATTCCACATTTTAAAAATTACCCTGTAAATTTAATTCATGTTTAATAACAAAGGAGAGTATTACTGGATGCTTTCGGACAATTGCAATAAAAAAGGGAATTCTAGCTTCCCAAACACAGCTTTTATACTTAATGTCGCACACTGAATTTTCACTTTGTCCGTGAATCACAAAAAAAGAAATATTTTTTGGAAAAAGTGCTTTAGTTTGAATAATTCAGGCTGCCTTTCTTTAACTGGGTCAAATGCTTAGATAATTTTTCCGCTGATCAGCTCACTCTGCTCTTGTAGACGCAGCTCCAGTTATTTCTATAATGTGACTGATGGGAAATCATTTAAAATTCGAAAATGGATACAAACCATTACATATAAATATACACATATTTTTTTAACTCCAGAAAAGGAGTAAAATAATATTTAATGACCAACCTCATGAAAGTTACGTAGACACCAAATGTTACAATTAAGTCCTTCTTCCCTTTAGGACTTAATTTTACTTTCTCCTTTCTTCCGCATTTTAGAATTCACGATGTACGATTTGTAGTGGTGATCTGTCCAGTACCGAAGACTGGTTTTTGCAAAAAAGGGCCACAGAGTAGCTCTCTTGACACTAAATCATCCTCATTAACTAACGTTCAAAATCGAGTGGTTTCGTTTTTCTAATCTTGCTACTACCAGGAGGTGTGGTTTGCCTCTCACTAAGCAATTTAAGGTGTGTGGCTATCTCGCCTTACCAACGGCTCAATTTCACTTCCAATACTCATACATAGCAACTCAACAGGTTACTTCTTTTCTCATGAAGCAAAATTTTCTAAACTTCAGATGAAGGTGAAAGTTCCCTGTTGTTCCCGTCGCTTTCTACTTGGTGGCCTTGATTTACTGCTGTGAGGTCGCCTAATAATCGCGCCTTTCTCTCTGTAGGTACTTTCCCCAATGCACTTGGTAGTTGTATGGTAGTTTTAGACACACCCGAAGGAACCAGGATCCTCTATCGGGACGGAATCCGCTTTCCTATCATCTTGCCTGTCAAGAAATGCCACTACACAGTATTTTTTTGTGTGTCTGCTTTGCCTGCACTCAGAATAATACATACCGCTACTAAAAGAAAAACAAATTGCATATTCAGCGAATGTTATAATTAAGAACATGAAAGAAGGAATTACCCATCACATCAGGGAATCAGCTGATTAATTTGCTGCTCCATTCACTGGAGTGATGGGGATTTATTCTCACAACTTCAGTGTGAGAGTTAAACTAGACTCACAGGGCGTTCACAGACAAGGTCGCGATCAAGGCTCCCCCGTCTCCTTGGCTTTCTCACATCTACTTCCTTTTTCCGTAAGAAAGGTGAACACTCTTTTTGGCTCTCCAGTCTTTGAGTGGGGTTTTATTCATGTTTGAATACTTAACAAAACTACTGAGAGTCGAAATCAAATGAGGATGAGATGTGTCCACGAGGGAGAGAGAGATGCTGCTTCAGGGGTGCTTCCTTCTGGCTTGTCTTGGGTGTGCAATTACACTATTATATGGAGTTTTGTCCTCCTGAACGATATCTTTAAAATATATTTTATATGCCGCAAACCACCCTTCCGGGACTAGCCTGCTATAGAGCTCCGTCTAGGAAAGCAGTGAGGATGTGTTTATTGTAAATTATCTTCAGTCCCAGAGCCCTCTGGGCTGGAGTCCATGTTGAGGAGGGCCTCCTGATTGGTGAAAGTCGAGCTGACGGTTAGGCTCTGCCGCGGCTTCACAGGTGCAAGTTCATCTAGCTTAATATTTTCGTTTCTGACCAGAATTGTCCTATCCATGTTTTCTTCACTGTGCCTTGCAACGACAGCATCAAATACATCTAATTTTGGTGGCAAGGTTCCACTTTCAAATAGGTATTTGGCTAAATAAGAGATGCAAATGTTGGATAAGAATGAGGTCACCATGGCAAGGGTCTTAAACGGGAATCTCTGATTATATATGCCACTTTTATCAATGTAATAACCAGGGTAAAAGATCAAGGGCTGCAGGTTCAGGTACGGCTCCCCGCCGGTGACTCTCAGGAAGAGGCCAGAGATGTAACCTGCCACGGCCCCATACGTGTTGGTCCCCTTGATGAATAGCACGCAGAGCAGCTGCGGGAAGATGATGATGTACACGAGGTCGGAGCTGAGGTACCAGAGCCCGTACACCGTCTTCGTCAGCAAGGCCATGGTCATTGCGGAAGCTCCGAACACGAACACCGTGATGCGCATGACCCAGACGAGCTCCTTGTCGGAAGCCTGCAAGAAATCGACATCGAGTCAGTTTTTCTCAGGACGTGCTGGCTCCTCTAGGAGGAGAATGAGAGGCCTTCCTGTGTTTTAAAGCTGCTCTAAAGAATCCGCCTGGTTCAAAAGGCTCAGTCTATGGGTGAAACCAGCCGAAACCACAGCATGTGAAGCGAGCAGTCTAGGCAGCCTCCCCGGGCGACCTTGCGAGAGGCTTCGCGGTAAGCAGAGCCCACTGGCTGAACGTCAGAGGGAGACGTGAGATGCGCGCTGGGTCCTCGGAGGGGAAGGGTAACGCAAGGGAGGATTTCTTTACTTTCCACGTTAAGGAATAGTTTTTCATGCGGCAGTGAGAGGTTGTGGCCTATCTGTCTTCCTCTCTTCCTGGAGGGTAACTGCCTTAAACAACAAGTGGGACCATTTTGTTAACTATGACCTAGAAAACCTAGAGAAAGGCAAGCCTGAGTCAAGGAAGGAGGTGGAGGGGGGCTCTGGGCCCCTCCGTGAGCACGATCGTGCTGCTCTGCGCCCTGGCATTCAATAAGGAAAATCAAACTGAGACGCTGTTTTCTGACAAAGGAGGACTTGGGGTTCAAGTGAAGAGCAGACAGGTGTGAGACCAGCACCCATGAAATAATTACTCATTATCTTCTGCTCTGCCAGGGTTCCTGAATTTCTTATCGTATTTAGTTAAACTCAGAGTTTTTCTAAGTTATTTTAGGTTTCATTGCTCGTTCATTAGAAAGAGAAGACGTTTAAATTATTGCAATATGACTGTACCTCTTGGGAAATAGTTATATTGATTAGTGCCCTTCAGTATTAGCGTGAATGACAACATGCATTAAAAACCTCATATACAGCATAAATAAAGCGCTGAATCAAAGTAGGGTCAGATTTTCATGCAGACTATTAATAAGTATAGAGAAACACCTACATAGTAACTGCAAGGATGAGAACAAGAGCAATAGCGTTATGTTGAAAAAACCGTTCTTACTACCGAAAAAAAAAAAAAAAAAAGATAAAAGCAAAAACTGTTCTTACATTTTGTCTGAAGGAAAGCTGATAGATGTTGCGAGCAAACATCGAACTTGCTGACAAGATGGAAGAATCTGCTGATGACATGACAGCAGCAGAAACGGCTCCAAGACCAAAGTAAGAAATGTACACAGGGCAGAGATACTTCAGGACGATCGGCAAGATCATGTCTGACTGTTGGTTGTCCTTGGGGTCGAGAGGCCCGTATCCAGTCTGGCTCCAGTCTGTGGATAGAAACAACAAACACAACAACCAAAGAGCCATCCATCCATCCATCCATCCATCTGGGGTCATCCTATTTACTAGGTAGCTTTCAAAATAAAATCAGAACCTATAAACTAGTCTAATCAGTGGGAAATCTAATTAGTCTAACAGGGCATGTTAGTTTAATTAGGTGGGAAGCCCATGTACTGGTCCAGTGAAATTGCCTCATATATTCCAGCTTCTAATGGGTTACAGTTAGTCTTATGCACAAGATCTGAACAGAATATGGTGGTGTGAAAAATATATATATATATATATATATATATATATATAATTAAATATATATTTAATATATATTTCTCATCTTCAATGTTACAATGGTGTCTGAAATATAAGACAATTGGTTGACATATTACAAAGGTAGATATATGAACAGATGAGAAACCATTGACTGTGTGGGGGTGAGAGGGAACGTGGGGGAGGGAGGGCAGCTGAGGGGTAACTGGTGACGTGGATGAAGCCTGAGTGAGTCAGTTAGTGAAGCTGCAGGAGATTTACCTGTTGACGCGCCAATGGCTCCAATGAGTATGGCTGGCAGAGCCATCACCATGCAGCCAAAGGCTGCCAGGAAGGACAGCACTTGAGCGTAGGTGGCTGAGGATGAAGACAGGACCCTCTGGAAGTAGGCTTGCCACGGGATTCCACCCAGCATCTGCGTGGGAACCACGGGCACTCACAATGAATTGGAGGCAAATAGCATCTATTAGGTATTTTTAAAATGAGAATTTTTTTTTAACAATCACATTCAGAATGGTCACATGTATGGCTCTGAAGGGTAGAAAATGGTCCTACCTGCCACTTGTCTACACTGCTGTCACTAAGTCATCGTCATAGGTTCAGTCGTGCAGAATTTCTCAAGTTCTTTTCTCTCATAATTATTTATGCACAATATTTTCTTTTGCTTAATTTACCTACTTTAAGCTGCATTATACACAACTACCCAGAAACCTTCAGTTTGTTCTTATCTGGAAGTTTTAACAGCCACAAAATTATCTCAAAAAATTAAGATTCTGAAACCATGAAGTTTCATTTGATTCAAAACACCCAGTGAATATTTCTGGATTCCAGTCACGTGCCAGGCAATGTAATGGCTGTCAGAGCCCAGAGATGAGTGAAAAAGTCCTGCTCTTGAGACCACTGTCCAGTGGGAGGGTCAGTGCGTTATGGTGTTTTCTAGACGGGGCTGTGCAGAGGCTCAAGACAATATAGAGCATCAAGAAGATACTAGAATTTCTCTTTATATTCATTTCTACCTCATACCTAAATATTGTTGTTTTATTAAATGATTTCCACAATGTGCTAGTACATAGAAGCAGTTTATAATTCCTATCCCTACCTTGGGGGTGTGCTTAACATTCTTATTGAGGATATACAATAAAAAAGTTTGGAGACACTGAACTTGCATGTAATTTGTTGATGCTATAAAGAGGTACATATGGGAACAATAATGAGAAACAATCATCTGGGGGTAACAGAGGGGAAAGGTGGGAGGAAGACAGAGGCATGGTAACCATGGTAACCATACAGAAAGAGCATTTGAGTCCCCTTAAGTATCAAGAGGGTGTCACTAGGTGGAGACGGACAGGGAGGAGAGTTCTTGGGAAAGAACCCAATATGAAAAAGAAAAAGAAAAAAACAGAGGCAGCCATTAGACCACCGTGTGTTTGGTATGGGTGGAGGTCAGGGTGTGTGTGGGTGGTGAGAGAGGAGGCTGGAGCATCCTCTCACTGGCGTAGAGTCAGTGTTCAGTAAATATTTATCATGTGAGTGAGTGAATTGAGGAGGGAACTTCCCACGTCACAGTGTATTGAAGTTGCTTCTTTGATTGTCTGTCTCTCTCACTGGCTCCGAGTTCTGGGATATCTGTCTTGTTTATTATTGTCACGTCTGTGCCAATCACATATTGGCTCCAGAACGATTTCCTTCTTATAAAAGCCATACAAGCTCAAATGCAGAACAAACAAACAAAACAAAACAAAGGCAAAAGAAGAAATTCTAAAATTCATCATCCCGTGCCTCAAATCTATATGCTTCCAAAACTTTTCCTTTTGTTTTGCAACCTGTAAATCAGTATATCATTGACTTCTTCCATGTCGATGAATATTTCGTCAGTAATTTCAATGACTATGTGAATTGATATATCATAATTTACATACCTGTGTCTATGGACATTTAGGTCATCCAGGTTTGTAAGTCAGGTAAAATCTGGCCTCCACTGACAAACAGGAGCTCTGATGGAAAGGTAGAAATGGGCTTGGAGGGGTGGGATGTGGGTGGGCTGCCAGCGGGGAGACCAGTGAGGGGCTGTCACAATAGGGCCAGGTGATCCAGGAGCTCGATCTAGTGCTAATATAGGGACGGGGGAAGTTTAGGGTGGGACGGGCAGATGCCTCTAGATTACCATGAGCAGGACTTGACAAGTCATTTCCACGGCAACTGGAAGATCAGAGACCATTGGTGAAACGTTTCAAGGCTCACATCTAGAATTTATTCAGTCAGTCATTCCGCATCTATTATTTCATTTCAATTTATCTTACAATTTGAAGGATGAACATGACTTAGTCATACAATTTTTTTGAGTTGGGAGAAATTGTAGCAATCATTGGATATAATGCCTTATCTTGAAGATGAGTAAATCCAAGGACTAAAGTGTGGTGTAGGAGAAAGGACTTTGGGGTCTTAGTTCTCTGTTTCAATCTATCACTCAGACAATGGTGTGACTGATAATCAAAAAATTGCCTAGTTTTTCTAAGTCTCATCATCTCTCCCATATAACCATAAAATACACCAGCCATGAAGGTAGAATTACACATACATATAATATTTAATCGCCTTCTCCATTCGATTCATAATTGTAAACCATGCCCGAAAAATTTCAGCCAAATGCATTTCTTAACAATCGTTGGGGAAAAAGCCCTCCTCCCCGCCACTGGAAACATTAGTTTACATGTTTCTCTGTCTTCTTACCAGTAAGTTCTTCACGGGGGCAGACGCACCTACTTTCAGTGTTAAAATTTAACAAAGTGCCACAGACACAAAATGGAATCACGAAATATTGTGAATCTTCTAAAAAGGGAACAAACATAAACCATTTCCCCTTAATTTGATAACAATTAATCTATTGCTTACTTTGAAATCAAATACATTGTTTTTTTTTAAAAATACATAACCCCTCTAGCAAAATCACACAATCACAGAATCTCTGAGGGAGAGGTTCTCTGGTACTCCCTCCCCCTCAGTCTGTGATCCGCCTTGATTTCTTCCATGCCCACCCCTCAAGGCCACCACCTTCACCCACAGGTTCTGCACATTCCCAGCTGCCTGACCTCCCAGCCTTCTTTCTGGGCATCTGTCCTGGGTGACACTTCCCTTCCCTACGTATCTCACGCACTTAAGGCCTTATGACACCACGGATTTAATTAGAGACTGAATGAGTTACTTATTTCAGAAGAAGTTGGATTTTAATGCCTTAATCCAAGATACAAAATAGAATTTTTAGATGGTGCGGCTCTCAGATTGGGGGAGGTATCTGGCAGTAGGGCGTGGTGTTCAGCACAAGTGTGGACACACCACACATAACCCCAGGGAAGTGATCGCTTTGACACTTGTCAGTGTCCCCATCCTTCTTCCAGCAGGAAGCAGTCAACCCAGAAACGGACAGGAGCGTGCATTTTAGTGTTACATAGAAACACTAAAGTCTTGGAAGTGCGTTTGACTTTAGGACAAGTGAGAGTGCATTCCTCGGGTAAGAGCATCACTTACCAACAACAGAAAGCTATCGAGCCACGTGTAGACTTCAAACGGCTCAATGGTCCCCAGCCAGGGCTTCTGGTACTTGGTGTGCACGGCCGTGTACCCGATGTCAGCAACCGCAGAATGTGACAGTGCGAAGGGGACGCTGACCCACTGCAACCAGAGCGCGGGAGAGCGTTAGGCCGTGGGACTGTCTGCGACGTGCAAGATGTAGTTTATTAGTTTTTTCTCGTAGATGGCACAGCTCAGTGTTGCTCGTGTTCAGGGAAGAACCTGGGAGCACGTTCTCTGTGGGACACCGTGAAACACTTAGGAGAGTTAGAGTAGCACATAACTTCTGTGCTAACGATGCCGTTTCACATTAGCCACAGAGCAGCCACCAGAGGCCTTTGGGAAGAAAACGCTGAATCTGAGAATTTGACATATGTTTATACATAAACATTTTGTGTTTTCTTAGAATTGGAAGAAGATATCCATTCCTTAAAGTGACCGAGAAGATTTGATTGAAAAGAATTTCTATGTCCCATGAGCAGTTTCATGGATTAACCAAAACTAATATAAGGAAGGGTTAAGAGACAAATACAGATTAGTGTCAGGATTTAAATTTTAACTCTGAGGGAAGTTATTCAAGGAAGATCCCACATGTGTTTCCACCAAGTGGAGGCATGAAGGAGGGGAAGCCCTAGACCCTACTAAGACTTAACTGAGGGCAATTTTCTGTCAAAATCTCACAACGTGACGAGGTTTTTCATCCAATTGATCCACAGAGGAATGAAAAATTGCCAATAGTATACGACTTACTGTGTATTACTCATGATGGGAAAATAGATTTCTGTTAATTTTTGCTGAGTTAGTATCAAATACCACATTATCTTTCACAAAAGGAGAAAGGAAGGAAAGAAGGAAGAAAAGAAGGGAGAGAGAAGGGAAGGAAGAAGGGAAGCAAGGAAGAAGGAAAGTCTGTGAACGGCCCCACTTACCAGTCCCACGAAAATGCAGAAGAGCTGAACGACATCTGTGTAGGCCACGGAGTAGAGCCCGCCCACCAGGGTGTACAGCGTGGCGATAAGGGCGGAGACGATGACGGACACGTGCACATCGGCGCTAATGATCACGCTGATAGTGGCTCCTGGAAGGATTGGATGAGAACAGCCCAGGTGAAGTCTCACATTCAAATTCTGCCATCTCAGTAAACTGAATATGCACATGCATATCTGCATTTATATACATACATATATATATACATACATAGGTTTAAAAACCTTCTTTCTTTCTGAAATTAGTGCTTTGCTCACTTATTTGTGTGGGGACACCTGAAATTCACGATTTGATTACAGATCCATTACATATACTACACTAAATACTACTATAAGATCTTGCAGTAATGCCACCAACTACCTGAAACTCTGACTTTGTTGAACATACGCAGTATATTTACTCACATCCATGAGAAAAATAAGCCTTTATGGTAAGCATAACACCCATCTCCACATTTTACAATCAGCATTCATTTGCTCTTTTGCGTTAACTCTGACCTCAGCCAGCTTTTACTAGATGACACATGGTAAAAAGTACCAAGGTTTGAAACAAATTTGTAGGAGAAAATAATAAAATTGGTAACTTGTTCCTTCCAACTTTTTCAACTTCGGGAAAGACGACTTATTTTATTTGTTTGCCAGAGAATTCCAGTTTTGCCCCTAGGACGCCAGGGCACTGAAGAGCCGTAGATTTTAGCATCATGTTTTAAAGTAATTTTCATCATCAAAATTGTAACCCTGCCTTAGAAGTCAATCTATGCTTTTCTGACTTTCTGACTCTGTTTACTGTGTATGTTGGTGTCTGTATTTCCAATAGAACGTTATGGTGTGGACGGCTGGACCGCTGCAGTTCTTGGACAGCCAGTTCGGAATTCACTTGCTGCCCTACACACCCTTTCCCTGTTCTTTTCAAAAGTGGTATAGTTCAGATTTCGTATTATTAAACGCAGCAATGATATTCCTGCCACGTTAACATACATGCAACAAATCTGTGATTTCTTTGAATCATTACTTGCAATCTTGCATTCTACTATCGCTTCTCAATGGCGCGCTAATAGCAGAGGCAGCCCACCCGAGATGAAACATCCATTATCTAAAGAGCAGTATGTTTTGATCTAAGATAACAATGCAAAATATTTTTCAAGAAATTTTTTCTTAGTGCTGTGGCTTTGGTATCAAAATTGAATTACTTTCTTGCATAAAAACCGGTTGAGGAAAGGGCATGCCTAGTAAGGAGCTGGGAGGGGAGGACAAGGGAAAGCGGCCAGTTATTTGCAAGTGACTTTGGGTAACTGACTGAATTACTGTTGTATGGATATTTAACAAGTTATTGTTTTTTCTCCTGAGATGATTTACTGCATGTTGAAACTTCAGTCGCAATTCTTTGTCATTCATCTTTGGTCTAGTTCTCTACTTTAAGAACAACATTTTAGAGGCATACCCCATGAATTATGAAAAGTCCAATCATTACCCAACCTCTTTTGAATACTGTTTAATTTCCCACCCTTTTGTGAAACTTCTATTAATCCTACACATCCAAAAGGTAGGGAGGCTGTATGTTACAGAAGAAAGATCACTAGACGGGGAGCCGAAAGATTTAGGGTCCTAGTAAATGCTGCCATTTGGCTGTAACTCAGTGGTTTTAAAGACGTCACCTACTTTCGTCCCACTATTACGGTTGGGATGAATTTTTTCTCTAAATATTTTCTAAATCACCCCATCATTTGTCGTGAGTAAAATCAAAGTTATACTTCCAGATCTGTTGTGAAACGTTATTAACTCGTGCAGCCGTAAAACTAAATATACTGCAAATAAAGTTATAAAAATTATCTGAATTGAGCCGTGAAAAGTGTAAATATACGTTTCTTTAAGAAGCTGTAAGGGTGTTGTCTGTTGATACCAAGAAGATAGTTTAAGACACTCCTAAGCTTTGGTGGTGAACTATGCTCATTCATACATATTCACAGTAAGGTGGTGGAAGATCTTGTCCCAAGTTATTTCTAATAAACACTAACTTTGAGTTACGTCCGACTATTATTTCTGAAGAAAATAGAGGTGTTAATTTAAAATTCACATACATTCTCTTTACCAGAGCACATATTTCAAGAATAGCAGTAATACTTCATAAATGTCGTTTGACATGTGTGTGTGGAGACAGACATTAATACACTTTACATATGTGTTGACAGGCACACACAGATGTAGACACACGTATTTACAAAAATAACTCATTGCAGCGAGGTTGAGTTTAGCTATTAAATTTCCAGAATACTTTAGAAATAATAGATTATTCATTCTGTTCTCCCTTCAGGGCTCTGTTATAGAAGTTGATCTTTATTCTGTGAGAGTGAACATTTTGTATTCTGTTAGATATTCAGCCCCCTCCTTTTTTGATATCTCAGCAGGAGTTTGTTCTTAAAGCCAACATTTTCTGGTGTTGAAACCAGTGACAAATAAACTACCATTGCTTCCTAGCTAATGAGAGCAAGGTGGGAAGGGAGCTGTGCTTTTATGTAAAATTTCCTTAGGATATAGCAGTGGTGGCTGTGGAGTATGATTACTTAGTGCCAGCAAAGTGCAACTTTTCACTGAGTTATTACAGCTTTTTTTAAACTATCAAGTTCTCTTCTTTTCTATCTACACCAAGTCATTCCTTCATTTTACAGCTGGAGACCAGGAAAATAAGATATGATTATACAAGAGTCTAGAGAGACAGGAATGAAAAGTGGTGTAAACTAATATCTGATATTACAGAGACCAGATCTGATGATAATACTGAGACCAGAAGACTAGCTTGTAGTCTAATATGCAGCAGAGAAGGAAATTCATCTTATCTGACTTTTGTTTTGTCCACTTAAAGTTTGACTGTAGACATAAGCCCATTGTTTCCATTTGTAGGAGGAGATGGAGAATAACACAGCGTGTTCTGGGTATCACACATACACACGGCTCACTGAGGAAGGACAAGGAACGTCCAGCTCTGCTGGTCTTCAGGAAGGAACTCAACACTCAGTAGGATGGTGTAGGTTTCTCCTTGGTGAACAGGGAGGGTACTGAACCTGAAGATCTCCCACTGAAAGCTCTCATTTTCTAGGTCGTATCAGTGGGCTGAGAATCCAAGGACCAAAGACGGGCTGTCCTCACACTGATGGATCTCGATAGTAAGTTAGACCCCAAGGAGTCTAAGTCCATTTTCCAAATCCCTGAATATGTCTACAACCCAACAGTCTAAGACGTAAGGGGATTACACTGAGAAAGGAAGGACTGTTGTTTTCCTTTTTCTCTTTTGAAGAACATGTAGCGATAGGTGATGCATTCATTCATTCATTTGTGATAGGACTGTAAGTGTTAATAAGACACAGGTCCTGCCTTCAGGAAATGGATAGTTCCTTCTGTGAGGTTGGAAACTGGGAAGTAGATAAATAGGCACGTAATCATACAAAGTGGTAAATTCAATGGAAACAGAATTCCTGGTGCCTCCGGAAGCCCATAGGAAAGGCATCCAGCAGGTTCAAGATGACTGCCCTGAGGAAGTGACATCTCTAGCAGATCTGAAGAAACTACCTGGTTGGCTAGAAAGGAAAGAGGAGCGTGAGTCCTAAGCAGAGGGCAGTGTGCTTGCAAAGTGTCAGAACTGCCATTCTGGAGGAAGGGAGAAGGAAAAGCCCAAGTTGTAAGAAGCCTTCCTAGCCTGGTTCAAAGGCCTGGTTTTAAGCAGGAAAGGGACGTGATCAGATTCGGTCTTATGGGAGAAGAGCGGGGAGGGGGGTGGCATTAATCCGGGTGCTGGAGGTTGGGGGTGGCCTGGCCTGTGGCTGAAGAAATAAAGCTGTGTATCTGATGCTCATTCAACCAGAGATGCGCACAGAACGACGTTCTTTGGTCCTTACCTAAGGCAGAGAAAATGGCCGCAGCCCAGAACATTTCCCCCATCAGCGCGGGAATGAACAGGAGCCCTCCCATGCGCTTTCCGTAGATCTGCTGAAAGGGGTCTAACATGGTCACATATCCCTTGGAACGCATGGGCTTGGCAAAGAACAGACCACCTAAAGGAAATTAAAGCAAGCGTTAATGAGAAAATGAAAAATCCCTAATACAATAGTCTTTGCCAACCTTTTACTATATATAATTTCTGAAGGGAAATGAATTTTTTAGAACACTCATACATGTTGAGGAACCTGTCTGCAAAATCCAGTGAGTACAGGACCAAGAAATATTCAGCAATAAAGTGGAAATTTCTTAATACGATTGTCGTGTGCATCCGGGGCCACACATGGCATGGAAGAGGCTGTGGATTGAAACACACGGACCAGCAGTGCACTCGTAAAATGTCTTCATGTATTTGTGTCACCCAGCAGGGCATTCAGATATTTGATTAAGCACAGGATCCAACAAAAGTATTCTAAGTGCAAAAGAAATTTAGGAACCCTCTGTTACATAATATTCTTGACCTTTTATTAGTTTGATTTACAAAATGAAATGCAGGTACAATTCACGCAGATTCATTTTTAACGATATGTCCGCACTATTTTGGAAAGAAAAAACATCATTATGTTAAGAAATTCACTGCTTTGATAGCAAACAATCAAGGGAATTTTTTAAACATGTTCCATCATCAGGAGATCCGATCACCTAAACGTTAGTGTTACCACTTTCTGATAACAGCTACTTAGGGATTTCCGGCAGCATTTCCCACAACAGTTGTTCACATCGTTTGACTTATTTCGCTTGTTATTTATACTCCTGATCTATATGCCTTACTGACTGAGTCGCTCAGGTGTGAACTTTTGCTTACCTAAGATCAGACTAAGGGAATATCCAACTGGTGCCTGAGCCCACGCTAGACCGTAATCTGGAACGTACACGGCTTCGGCTGTCCCGTTGATGTAACCTCCTCCGACCCAGGTGGCTGAAACAGAGTGAGAAGTGAGGGGAAGGCGTGTCATCCCTGTCATCCCTGAGACCCGCTCAGCCCCGCACGGCGGCCCTGGACATCGAGTGGCTGGTGACACAGCCACCGGAGACGTGGCTTGTCTGAAGTGTTGGAAGAATGCCAAGGGCACATCGATTTCAAAGACTTAGCATGGAAAAATAAATGTAAGGTTTCTCATTTTTGTTTTTGTAATGGTTACAGGGCAAAAGAAAAACATTTTCCATGTACTGCGTTCAGCAATTCTATTATTTACATTAATTCACCTATTTTTTAATGTTTTTTTGAAGTGATATGTAGAAGATTTCAGATTATATTCGTGGCTTACATCATATTTCCATTGAACAGTGTTGCCCCAGATATTTTCTAAATCCATTGTCATCAACATTTTAAAATGATATTATTATATCATAAAGTCTGAGACCATATACAATATATAACACTATATGACTACTCCTCAATAATACTATGACTTCCCCCCAGCCTTTTGTTTTAATTGTATTGATCTTTCTCTTGATCATGACTGTTGTCTTCGAGGAGTGGGAGGGGTGTGTGTGTGTGCGTGTGCATGCGTGGTTGTGTGTGCGTGTGCTTTTCACCAATAGAGTCACTCTGTAAGCATGCTGGGTGCATAGGCTTCTGGCAAATCTATTCTGAATTATAACGAAGTTGTACTCACTCCCTTACGCTGTTAAGGGAGTGGGGAGGGAGGTGGGTGCCAGGTGCCCTAACGTGAGCTTAAATTACCTTTTCCTTCTCTGTCTTCCCAAGAACCCGACCTACACTTAGGGCTAGATCAGCCTTCAGGAGAATTTACAACCTTGGCTGCAAGCCCATCTGCAGTTCTTTGTTCTGCTCCAGGTCTTTCAGTGAGATGCTTGATAGTTCATAAAGAATAATAAGAAATATGTCTTCTTCAGATGTTATTTAATAACATTTCTGTAGCGTCGTAGGTGAAGAGGGCCATGCAACCAAAGAAAAGACGTTTTGATTAAACAAGTTTGGGCCAAGAATGCTCTGTAAACGCTATCATTTTCTCTGAGAAGACACTAGACTAGTTGATTCTTGCTGAAAAGCCAAAGTTGCTGGAACACTCAGATCTTTGCAGTTTGTATCCTTTTAAGAATATAGTCAAGACATTGAAAATAATCCCTAGGTAGAATTTGTGTCAGATTATGAGGAACAGAGGCTGGCATGAAGCTTATCAAATATGAGACTGCACTCTGGGCTGTACCATGCAGTGGGGAATAAAATTTGACTCTGAAAAGTCCCCTGAAATTTTGCGGTTAGAATGTAAGTAAAATAAATAACATGTACATGAGACTGCCAAAGACAAGTGTTTCTATTGTGTTTCTCGCCAAAATTTATCTGGCGTTTAATCCAAATCCAAAGCAAAGAAGAGAGAACGTTCAAGGGTTAATCTTATTTTTAAAAGTCAACGTGAAAAGACCTTCCTGCCAAGGAAATTTAAGTACATTTAAGTGGAGAGTTTATATACAAAATCCTCAAGTGGACAAATGCAACCACCCCGTCTTCACCGGTAGCTTTTCCATGGTGTTGATATATAACAAATGCTATGACGTGCTTTTCTCATCCTAAACCCTGCTGAAATTTTAAAGACTCCCCCCACCCCTCACTGGACGAGTAACCAGGGCCTGGAGCAGCGGATTCTCACAGGCACAGCCCCTGAGACCTCACCTTCCGCCTGGCACCTGGGACCCTTGACTCCGCACCAGCAATGTTTTGCTGCATTAAGTAAATATCTGATGGTCTTACAAGCACAACACTTACTAGTGATCATTTTTCATTGTGTAGGTCTCCTCTCCAGTTCCAGAAAGAATACTGGTGCCTGAATGATTGCAAATATTATAATATAGAAGTGCAGACTCGGTCACTTATTATGACTAGAGCCCCTCCATTCTTATCCATCTGGTCCTTTGCATGTTTGTATATTTCATGTCAGATTCATGAGTGAGAACAAGAATTCTTTTAAATTATATGCATTTTTATTTTCAATCTTTATTCTTTGTCGAATAATACAATCAATGAATCTGACAAGGTTTAGATAATATGGTTCAGATTTTAATTGAATTATGATATTGATCAGGGCTCTTTTCAGTTCTGAGAGAGAAAAAAAAGTCTTTAAAAGCTGAGCTCGAGCATGACACTTTATAAGAAATATCATAATTCAAATTTTTTCTATACATTTTAATAGCCTATTAGATTAAAAATCACTCTAAATGATAAAAGATAAATTCTGAAATATTATCTTTACGGACATAATAAATGTACTATTAAATTAGAGTAATAGAACATGATCATAATTTACAATGAACAAAATACTTTGGTATACAACAGCTCATTTATTCTTTTCAACAGTTTGAGTGAAATCAAAAACTTCTGTCCTCCTGTTTTGCTTTTCTTCTTATTTTCTTAGTCAGAGGAGAAATCTGAAGGACATATAATTACAATGCTTTAATGCGGTTCATACGGTATCATATGTGGACCTTTAGAGGAAAGAAGAAATGTTTGTGCTCTGATGAAAACTGAAAATGAAGGTATGAAGGTGTGTATTCATCAGCAGCTGGATACTAAGAGAAAAAACAAGAAAATCTACATGAACGTTTCAGTAAACATCTGCAGGTGGTAGGAAAGTGGGTGATTTTTATTCTTCATGTTTCTGTATTTTTCTAACTTTGTATGTTGTGCATCACAGAAAATATTTTGCAAAACATTTCTTTTCTGCATATGTGTGTATGTAGAAAAAATTAGAAACAGAGGGTACAAGAGAGCTGTTTTTACCCTGGGTACCTTGACAAAGAAGTGGGGAGAGACCTGTGGAGGGCTGGGTGTGGTCACTGCAGGGGCCCCGGCATGGCTGCCAGACCTGGGTGTAGCCCTGGCTCTGGCCCTTCCTAAGCACGGGAGGCTGGGTCCTGACGTAACCAGAGCCCTTCCATAGTGACGTCATGAAGATTGAACGGAACCATGTACATCGTGAAGAGTTAAACAGACAAGATGTGAATATCTGAAAGGCAGAATCCATCGCCCATCAGTTATTCTACAACATTACAGGTTTCAGGCGGCCAAACAGGGATGCAGTCTTCCCAGACTGGCTTGGAAAACTCTGTGATAAACAGGGTGAATCAATTTTAACCAGCACTTCAGGAATGAAATTTGACGTCATCTCGATATGATTTGCAGTGGGGTACGTTTCCACTGAGCGCTCCACTCACACTAATCCACTGAGAGTTCCTGTTAGTGTGGGTTATGTCGCTAACATTTGAGAACTTACTGAGTCTAAAATGAAACGTGTGCTGTTAGTGAGTACACATCAGGTGATAGTACAGATATAATTTTAAACTGTTGTTTTTCCATATTATTTTCAACAACCGAGAAGAACACAAAAGAAAAACAAGCCACCACTTAATCAGAACCACCTCTGGGCAAAGGAGGAAAGACTGCTCCTAGCACAGAGAGGCTTGAATGGGCAAGAGCTGCAGCTGTAACTGAGGGATTCCTACTAGGACACACCCTGGCTTTTTTCGTTTCATATCAATGTTCCTGGGAATGTTTTTCTCAGAGCCGTGGATTCAACATGTGATCGTCTTCCTGTGAGTAAATTCTTTCATTACATGGGAGAATAAGGTTTCAAAACAGGACATCCATCAATTTGGAATTGGGCTGCCCCCATGTTGATTTATTCAGTTTTAACTAGTTAGTTAAAATCACTAGTTAGTGTTCATTGGCTAGTTAGTATTCATTAAGACAAGTCAAAGTCACAGCTTTATGCCTGTCTCCATGAACAGGAGGGGACGCTGCTTGTATCACATTAATGAACAGAAACACAACTTGTAAGGCTAAGGCACTTCTGCACATGCCTCCCCCTGTTTGTTTTTACTGCCTCCACCCTCTCAACAGCCCAGATAGCCCAGATTTGTTTCACTGATATTCTGTCCAGTAATTGATTATAAAAGCATTAGTTCCAGCGCTACTGAGTTGAAACCGTTTTAATTTTGTTCTAAATAAATGTAAAAAATTATTTTTTAAATATATAAGTAGTGAACACGGAGAATCCCCCAAGGACAAAGAACAAGATTTGCTCTGTGTCTGGAGCAGCTAGGGTGGATGGCTGCAGGGGTAGGCGCGTGGGCACCCACCTGTCATGGTGAATCCGCCCACCAGCAGCCCGATGTCGCGGCCGCCCACAATGATGGCCTCGCTGCGCTCCCCCGAGCTGCCACTGTTCTTGGTTCTCCACGCGGCCCATATTCCAACCAGCAATATGAGGAGGTAGAACACCACGATGGCTATCAGCCCTTCCACCTGGAAAGTGCTGGCTCCTGACATCCTGTGCCACTTGAAGAAGAAGTACATTGAAATCGCACGTTCACCTGTGGTTGCCAACAGGTGTCCTTTCCATCACTCTGTTTCTATTCAACAACTGAACCTTGTTTTGGGTTTTCAAGAAACAGAAAAAATTGGAGATGCTGTTTAAGGAATAATCATTTTGTGTTAAATAAATCCGTGCAATGTAAAATTCACCTTGTCTTGTGTTTTAACTCAGTAACAGTCGAGAAATCACTTACGAACAGTGTGTCCGTATTTGCTTTTTGGAACTATGTACTTATTCGATCTAGAATTGCTCAGTAGTGTAAGTGTATCATAAAAGATTACTCTGAGAATTGACCCATATTCGTTCATTCATTATCCTACCCCTCCTTTCAAACAACTTCAGGGAGTTGTTCCAGAAGTAATGTGACATGCAAATATCTGGGGGAAAAAATAACCAATTTAGGGAAATCCATTTCAGATCCACACGGCCTCCAATTTTCAACAAGTGAACTGCCCGAGGTTTAAGTTGCTGCAGCCACTGAAGGGTTGCGTTGTTTAAAGGGTCTCCCTCCCGGTCAACTGTCCCCACCCACTGTCCTCCGTTCCTCCGATCCGTCCTCCACCCCCTTAATGGCACATACAAGAAAACGATTTAAAATACAGAAATGCCTAAAACATAATGGAGCGCCAGAGGCACTAAAAACAAGACGCTTGGAAGAGACATGCCAAGTTCTAACGCCTTTACTTCCTGGAATTCTCTTGTTCTCTCTTATCTTCCCCGCGTGACCGCGTCTGTTCATGCTCCCCAATTTACACAAACAAGTTTCTGGGGGAAAACTCAGATATCTGCGCACGCAAGTGAGTGACAGACCTAGGGCGAAAGAACCAGCCCCCCTGGGGTTCTGGGGAGGCGAAGGGAGCCCCGGCGGTGGGTGGGGAGGTGGGGTGGGTTTTGCCTTTGCAGCCAGAGCCGGGAGGGAC